ATCAAGTGGAAAAGACGAAGAAAACTTGACATTACCAGGATTGGAAGTTTCAGAAGACTTTGAGGGAATGCGTTATTTTGATCAGAAAATCAATAGATTATCTGTTCGTGGTAAAGAGTTTGAGGAAGGTACAACTCTTCCAGATTTTGGTTTGATTGAAAAGGGGGAGAGTATGTATGACCCGGAAAAATACACTTCTTTCCAAGGTGAAACAACAATTGGTGGTGTAACAACATATGGTGAAAGCATAGTTGAGCCTGAAACAATTGAATCCGAAGGGTCAAATGTGTCTTCTGATTTATCACTGTCAAAGAACTCTTCCAAAGATAAGGAATACAACACTTCAGATCTTCCCTGTGGAGCTTGGTGGAAGCGAAGAGCTGCCTCCTTGTATGCTCATGCCAAACAGACAAATGCATTATGGTCAGTTTTCATTGCTGCTACTGTGATGGGTCTCGTAATGCTCGGCCAACGATGGCAGCAGGAAAGAGCTTTACAACTTAAATGGCAAATCAGTATAAATGATGAGGTATATCCATTATCATCACGTGTTCTTAAAAACATTTTATGTTAGCATATTTTATTTCATACATGATCAGAAAATATATGTATATAATTGTTAAAAAGTAGACTTTAAGCCTAACACAACCTCACAAAACTGGCTTAGAAAGTGAGGTTTGCACCCACTTATATTTCGAACGTGAGACTAGACATTAATGAGTGGTCCGATAGCGACCTGATAGCAGGTGGAACAATATGCCCAACAAATAACAAATATCGCCAAGATAGGCTCTAACATGTTAAAAAGTAGACTTTAAACCTAACTTAATCTCACAAAACCGGTTTGTAAAGCGAGGTTTGCACCTATTTATATACTTTAAATTGACTTTACTTCTAGTCGATGTGAGATTTCTAACAATGATAAATGATGAAGGTTGTCCAAAGTCATACATAATTCACAAGCAAGTCTCTAATGTGTTATAGACAATATGCTTGATTCAATTCTGTAATCTCTTCTGTTGATTGATTATATGACTCTAGTAATGCACAATGGACTCATCATTAACCAGTATGTAACTATATAACACTATTATGTCATTGACACTGGACAAAATCTGATAGTTTAATACTGTGATGAATAACAATGAAGATATTTTTTAAAAAGCTAAAGTTTATTGATGGATGTTTGGAATTGGGGAAAAGAAGTACAGGAACAAAGTATCAGAATCTTGAGTCATTGACCCTCCACCCCATTACATTGCAATGTCCCAATCTTTCAAAATATATTGGCTGCCCAGTATTTATGTATTTAATATACTTGCCAAAGTAACTTTAATCTTCCTTATCCAGCAGCATGTTTTGAACTGTACCTTCGATCCAAAAGAATCAATTTTAATTCCACACCGCTGCAATGGTTGTGTATCATCTTCACCTGTCCTTCTAATTCGTCCAGCTGTTGAAAACATGTGATGTCCTTGGTATCTTCATGGGTGGTAACAATGTCTTGAGACCAAACGATCATGTGTGCTGATTTTTATACAAGAACGAACTTAATTCCACTGTAATTTAAGAGGGTCATGCTTAATTTTTTGAGCAATGTAATTATTTATTGTCCTTATCTGAACCATCGGCAGTGGTAGAACTTTTGAAAAATTATATCTTTGAATTTTCCTATCCTGTAGAGAAGCATAAATCTTACTACAGATTCAAGGTATTTTTTGTCAACTTGAGGCCTACTACATCAGCAGAAAGAGTGCCACGAACTCTTTTTGTGCAATTCTCTCTAGCTGCTCTGTTTGATTTCTCGTATTACTTCAAAAATACTGACATTCTCCATCTTAATGCTTCCACAGGCGAGGAGCAGGGTGCTTGCTCCCATTATTCGACTCAAAGATGTGCTTGTTGGTGGCCACCGTCGTGGTTCCTTGATCAGGGGAAGCTCCTCTAGTGAAAGTTAAAGTACTTGAGGAAAAGGTGGCTAAGTGCACGTGGCTCCTATCCTTGTGGTAAGTGAAGATGATGACGAAAAATTGTCAGAGAGAGGTTGAGAATGAAAAGTGCTACATTTGTGAAATCCAGGTTTGGTAGCAGGATCGGTTGACCTTTCCCAATTATGAATGTCAGTGATCAAACATTATATGCTGTGGATTTTTTTCATCTTCATATTGACTATAGCATTGTATAGCTATTGAAGTTATTCAACTTGGTAAGTTATGTATTCTGATAATGTGAAATTGGCAGTTTAAACACGAAAGATGTAAATGAAGTGATTGCTTTAATGGTGAGTATTTAGTTTTCCTTTGACTCTGACAGCTGCGGGATCTTGCAAACGAGAGTGAAACCTCAGTTTCTAAACTGTAATAGACTGCATGCTGTGGGTACATGGTTATAAATTGATAGATATCGTTCAACAAGGCATGCACACATGAGAACAACTACACGTATAGTGAAGTGTTGCCTATGTGAAATTGAGATTATGTGTGCAACTGTGATCGTTTGGATCTTTATTCTTTCAAGATGCTAAGTTTCCAAATGACAAAGTTGATTATCTCTGTTAGCTTGTTTTAAGTGGACTTGTGATTAAGGTCCCGCATTACCGGTACATCTGATTGAACTGCTGAATCCGAGTCAGTTTTTTGTGAATAAATTCTCTATTTTATCACCAAAGTATTATTATTTTTCAGTTTAATAGATTTTTTTTGTCTCAATCTTTGTCAAATTTATCTCGATTTTTTTTACAATTTAGTTTTTATTTTAATTTTAAAAAAGTTAATGTGGTTTATTTTGTTAATATTGCTATAATGACTAACAACAGAGTGGAATTTTACACAGATATGGAATTTTCAACTTAGATGGATGCATGATCTTTTTAATTATTTACTGGTGTGAAAAGTAATTGTGAAAATTGAATACAAAAGTAGTTTCTTAATTGAAAAGTAATTATGAAAAAAATTACATTGGTCGTGCATAAATAAAAGCCAAACCTAACATAATCTCACCTTCCACTAACGTCAACATCAATCTAATATTCCTTTTGGCTAAAATGGAATTAAATTGAATACTTGAGAAAATAAATCTGAAAAATATTTGAAGAAAAAGAAGCTTATTAAAAATACATAAATTTTAAAACAAAATTTAATAAATTTTAATATAAATTTAAATAAACTTAATATTGTTAAAAATATTTAATAAAATACTAATTTTTCAATAAAAATATTATTATAATATTCATATAAAAGTTAAATTTGGTTTATAAGATGTATGAGATAAATATTATTATAATATTCATATAAAAATACGAACGGACACATGATAGATATTTAACATTATCAGTGTATGAGATAAATACTTGTGGAGATAAATACTTGTGTTTGGTTGAGATAAAGTGTTATGAGTACTTAAAATTTGGAAAAAAAAAAGTCTACATACTTTGTTAGATTGCATCACTGCATATAATAAGTAAATGTTATGTAACCAAATAATGATGATATAAGAAAACATATTTGCATATAATTTTTTTTTAGTGATAAGAGTGTTAAGAAGAGTAAAGGCTCATGAGTCAATTTAGTTCATTACAAATTCGAGATAAGTTGAGTAGAAAATATATATATATATATATATATATATATATATATATATATATTGTTTTTAATATGGATTAAAATTAACTTGACTTATTTAATTTGTAGGATAAATTTGGTTGAAAGTGGGTTTACAATTCATTTTATGTATGAATTTTGAATCAGCTCACTCAAGCCAACAACATTTAAACCTACAATGGTAAGTTGTGCCTACCAATAATAAAAGTTCTTGATTGAATTATATGACAATAAATAAGTGAGTAAATTCAATAGTTGACCTATTTACTAATTTATAATGAGTTAGTCAGCCTACAAACTTTTCTATCTTAATATAAAATAAATAATATTAAATTATATTGTTTTTAACTCAATCCATCAATGCTCATTTTCTATTTTTATATTATTTAGATGTTATTAATATCCATTTATATTGTTATAATATTATTTTTATTATAAAAAAATAATGATATGACTGAAATTAAAAAAAATTAAGAAAAATATTTATCTTATAATTTGGTTATATAAAATTAAGTTAGATAATCTCTATCTTTTAAAAGTAAATATTAAAATGTAACTTATCATGGCAAGGCCTATATAGAACATTTATTTGTTTCATTTCAAAGATGGACATGAATGAACTTTTGATAAGTTTAACTTTAAACATCATATCTAATCTATTTGGAATATAAGTTAAACAATTATGACCCTATCTACTTAAAATATCCATTAAATATGTATTAGTTAATTTTTTCTCTCTGAAATTTAGTTTTTTACCATGGTATTTAATTGTTATCATGTGATCCTCTTAATCCCCCCATTGAATTTATTTGTTAAACATTCTTATTCTTTAAAAGGATAATTCAATAGAATTGCAATGGATATAATATTTAAGATGGTAGTTTACCAAAGTCATATGTTAATTGGCAACTAATTATCATGTCAATGCTATCCTAATTTAAAGGGTGATGAATTAGGGTCCACAATTGAAAAAATTTTAAAATAATCCAAACAGATCTGTAATAAACTGTTTTTTTAAAACTACTTATGTACACAAATTCAAATTATACTGCTTTTGTTCATATAGTCTCTCTCTATATCTAAATTAAACCGTGATAATAAGAGTAAAAAATATAACTTTTTGGTTTTAGTTTTTTCTTGCTCACTATATGATATCAACATATAATAAACTTATTATGTGCAAGCTTTTTACCGATCTTAAATTATAAAAAAAATAAAAAATTGGTATATTAAAAAATAAAAAATTTCATGCCTTTTTAATAAAAATGATTATATATATATGTTAAAATACTTCATAAAAAGTATAATATGTAAAATACATTTATATATAAGATATTTTGCCATTTATTTCGTTTTAAAACCATAATATTATTGCCAACATTAATATAGGAGCAAAGAAAATCTAGGAGCCAACGCAGAAAACTTAGGTCAGTATTTTCCGCGGTCGTGTCGATTGGTTTTGGCGCCATCACTGTTGAGTTTGCACCCAAACCCACACTTAAAAGACTTTGCCTTCTCTCTTTTCTTTATTCATTTCACCAATAAGGTAACTTCTCTCTTTCTCTCTCTCTCTGTTCTACACCGTTTTCGTTCTCTAACGCTGACATGCCGAATGTACTGTGTATGGCCATGATTCTCAAATGTTTCAAGTTGGACAATTTCCGTTCTGTTTATTTTATCCATTGGGATGTGAAATCTCTACTATTTTTTTTTTTGAGGGGGTGATCAACAATGAAAAGTTCAGTATTTTGAGTGGGTCTGAAAAACTAGGAATTGGAGTAACCCCAATCTTTGTGCTTGAAAGTGCATTTCAATGGGATGATGCCCAATTTATTAAATGTGAAATTTTGTTGAAAAATTACGTTCTTGGACAAAGATGCATTACTTTTCTTGGCATTAATTGCTCTGAGTTGGGTCGGATAAGAGATTGATTTTCTAGGCCACATTCCTTCTACTTTGTCTTCTGGGTTTCCCCTGTCTAAACTTGATTGTTGTGCTGTTACACAGCGCTTTCATTACGACAGAGTAATAATTATTTGAATTTTTATTATCTGTTTGAGTGGTTTAGTGAACAATGTTTGGGAGTGAGTGTGTTCGTCTTTAGATTCTTCGCCCCATGATAGGGTTCCTTTATGTTATTCACATATTTGATTATTTGGAAATTATTTCATTGCTTTCTATATAAAAAAATGGGAATCCTTAAGTGCAGAATTATGTGATCCAGTTGTTGTCAGATCAACTTAATGTCATTTACACACTGTATTTTCAGTTTTGTTTTAGATTGATATCACTGAAATCATTAATATTTAGATTTGTTCTTGAAAGGAAACTTCCATTTCATACAACTTTTTTTTTTACTGTCTGTCGTTAATCAATGCTTTATATGAACGTGAATCTGTGTAGTGATTATGATAAAGTTTTTTAATGCTTACTTGAGTATTCATTGGATTTGATAATGTGCTTATGTTAATCTACGCCAAGCAAATGGTGGATTGATGACCCAAAGGTTGCATTGGTTTTGTTTTCTTTAGAATAAAAGGGGTTGTGATTTCTGATGTATGAAATGCTATTAAATGATAATATAATACGGTCTTTTCATACTTGTCTCTGGTCGAACCTTTTCATTACGATACTGGGCTGGGTTTTGGGTTACCATTGTATTGTTGGTATAATATGTTTTACAACCAACAATTGGCATTCATACTTATTGGAGTATCCTCTTCATTCATTTCTAATTTATAGTTTCATCATTGTCAGAAGTTAAGGATCGTCAGCGGTTGAGGCAATGGATAAAGAGAAAACCTCACAAACCCCAAGAAGAACGACAAGGTCTTTGGCTTCATCTCCGACATCCACTTCAAATAATGTAATTGCAGCAAAAGTAAATAGCCTTGAACTTTCGACAATCAACGACCTTTTAGTTGGAGGAGATCCAATCAGTCTAGATGACATAATTTCCAACTTTCCTGGTAGAAGAAACCAGATTCTTGAGATTGGGCGTCTTTTGGGACCTTTGAATTCACCAATGCTTCCTTTGTTTGTATATGGAGGCCCTTGTACTGGAAAAACCAGTGTCATTCTTCAATTGTTCAGGCATCTCAACAGGCCTCTCGTTTATTCTAGTTGTAGGACATGTTATAACCAGGGTATCTTGTTTGAATCTATTCTGAATCAGTTATTTCTCCATAGAAAAAATGCTGCCAATGGTTATGCAAATGCAAAACGCTGTGACAGACCGTCTGATTTTGTCAACTTTCTTCGGGAAGCATTGACCAATGTTATAAACAACCTCAAAGAGAAGTCAGAGAAGTTGGTCTCAAATAAGATGAGACAAGAGAAAATTGGAAACATGATCTACTTGGTTTTTGACAATTTTCATCTTGTTAGGGAATGGGATAAGAGTTCTACTATATTGCCTTTACTGTTTAATCTCTATGATATGCTAAAGATGCATGAGGTGGGTCTGATTTTTATCAGTAGTACTTCCCCAGACACATTTTACTCCAACATGGGATATGTAGAGCCTATCCCCGTTTACTTTCCTGATTATACAGAAGGTGATATTCGTCAAATATTATTAAGAAACCAAGTGAACCAAAAGCTTTATTCCTCATTTCTCGAGTAACACACTTTATCCCTATATCTCTTTCCATTGTCTGCTTTACATTATCTCATATAGTGAAGACTTTTATCTCTTCTTTTCTTGCAGTGTAGTTCTGAAGTCTTTTTATGGAATTACAAAGCAAGTTGGTGATTTGTCTGCCGCCTTAAAGCCACTATATGAAAAATATTGTGAACCTTTAAGTGATAAGGGAAAGGGAGTTGCTCCTGATCAACAGATGAGGCGAAGGCTGCTTGCTCATATCAACCCTCATATTGGCCCCTCTTTGAATGAGATATTTAAGGTTTCATCCCTTTCTTCTACTGAAGTGGAGGCCCGGAAAGATGAAAAGCGGAAGGGAAATCCCAGGAGATTGGCGAAATCTGAAGAACTAGGCAGTCTTGATTTTCATATGTCTACTAGTGCAAAGTATCTTCTGATTTCGGCATTCCTTGCCTCCAGAAACCCAGCTACTCTTGATGCTTCTCTTTTTGATTCCAAAGGTGGTTCTGATAATCGAAAGCGAAAGAGGAAGTAAGTATGATGATTTAATATCAATACCAAATATGTCATGTTATGATCACAAAGTGGCATGATTTAACACTCTTCATCATTGTGAATGAAGCCTTTTTCTGGCCTTTCCCATGTACTCAACTTTTGTCTTTGTAGGAATTAAAATTCTAACTATTGTCTGATTTGGATGTTTACGTTTTTATTTTTCTGAGTTGTGCTTTTTCATGGGTAGGCCTTCTGAGAAAGCGATGGAACGGAAAGAAACTTTGGAAGAGGAGCTACTAATGAAAGGACCTGGAACTTTCCCATTGGAGAGGTTGTTAGCCATCTTTCAGTGCATAGTATCAGTCGCCGAAGATGAGGAAGAACCAAACAATGATGGATTTGGAGTTGAGGGTGGCAGTGCTGGACTGATGTCTGATGTTCTTTTGCAGCTGTCTAGTCTCTGCAATGCTAATTTTATATTCAAAGGTAGAAGCTGTCCAATTGAGGGCTCAACCCGGTATCGATCAACCATTTCCGAAGATCTGGCTTTGAAGGTGACATCTATGTCTAACTTTCCCTCAAAATTCTTTGGTATTGTTTATGTAAAGAGATTCAATATACACATAAACTACAAACAAAAAGTAACGCTTTCAATTTTCTTAAGCAGGTTGCAAGGAGCCTTAAGTTTCCATTATCAAAGTATTTGTATAGGAGTTAGTAATATTTTTGACATCAGCGTTTCACGAAGCAGGGATATCAACTTTTTTCTCTAACAGATCTGCCAAGTGCTTACAACCTCTACTGTCATCAACATGAATCAGATGGAATCTCCTTAGAATGCTTGAAGTCAAACCAATAGTGTAGAATTGTGACCATGGAAAATCCATGGATGTTGAATAGATAATTCTTTGTGACATTTTTCTGGTTTTATGTTTACTTGTAGATCTGCATTTACATTTTTATTTGAAGTTGTTTACATCTTAACTTGTAAGAAACATTGTATGTAGATGTACCTTAATTTTTGAAATCAATCTTTAATGTTGGCATTAGTATTGTAAGATTTGGCAGGAAAATTCTTGGATTTGTTTCTATGAATTGCAATGAAAAATGTACATGTTTAAGTAGTATTGGGAAACCAATTAGTGGTATCAGTTTGACCGTTAACTGAACGCTCTACTGATAAAACTGAACTAATTAAACTATCGGCTTAAAAAGCAGTCCAATCGCGACTCAATTGAACCGATTCATCAACCAAGCACCAAAAGATTGGTAAACAGGGTTTCATACGTTCCCTGCTGAGAAGAACATTTTTATCACCATTAGCGATGGTTGATAAAGTTAAGTATGTGTCTAATCATTGTAAAATGAACTCATGGATGTTTGGTAGACAGATACATATTATGTTATATGATTTGTTAATTTGTTTTTATCATATTGTTAATTTTGTCATTTTATAAATTATATACACGTTGTTGATACTTAAAAATACTAATTTTAACACAATTTTTTGTTAGTAATGAAAATTTTCTAAAAATTACAAAATTATAACAGAGATTCATTAAATAAGTTGTGTAAGACTGACAAGACTCAGTCATTTTCAATCAATTAGAAAGAGTTATTCAAAATAGACTGTTCCTAGCATTTTCATTACATTAATCGTGTATTAGTGTTTTTATTAGTTCAATGGCCAGTTATTTTTTAAAACATTGATATAATGAAAAAGATAAAGATACAGATGTCCTTGTTAGAGAGATATAATTAAATAGCTGAATAATCTAATGAACATGTATATACTGAGCTTGTGATTGCTTAGATGAGGTTTGACATGAGGAAACAGCCCACTGACTTTCTATACAGAAAGCACTTGAGTTCATGGAACAAAGGCATGGGCAAAAGGGAAAAGGACCAGTAAAGTGAGTTTATTACTGAGTTTGGCTATAAAGTAAGCAAGTAAAAATGTATCTAATATTGACTTAATTTAAAGTGTATTCTAAGCTTACCTTACTAAAATATAAGGGTACCTTTACTTACTCATTTTAGAAACAAACTCACTGTAGAGAAGTGTCGAGGAAAAGGAGCAAAATTAATCCAAGATTTCTTCTTGGAGACACTATTTTATCAAAGGCCATGGTTTATGGTGAAAACTTCCATGGTGTCTCTTTCTTTTCTACTTTTTGAGGGTGTTTAATCTTCCAAGACATGTTTGGTAATCTGATTACTGTTCCATCCGTTTCTATATTTTTCAATGGCTAAAAAGGCTACACTTTCCTTGGCATGTAATCTTCAGTCAAGAACTTTCTCTCCAGTAGAAAAGATATTCCACACCAATGTCCCTATTATGTACAAAGCAACAGCAACCTTAAAAACATCATTCCAAGAACCTGCAATAAAAGATCACATGATTGGAAACCTAGAAAGAAGTTACAAAACATGGTGAACTTCAAAATGAAGAGGGAACTCTCAAACCTCGCTGGAGTATTAAACCAGTTGCAGCTGTACCAAATACACCAGCAAGCACTCCTGCCGTATTTGATAGTCCAAGCAATACACCCTGAAATTGAATCTCGTGAATAATATGATAGATGCATATTTAGATGTATGAGTTGATGTATAACTATCAAGAACAATAATTGAAGTGAAGTGTATTGTAGTCTTCAATCTTTGGGTAAAATTGTTTCAGTGGTCTGCCATATTCTTTTTACTGATAGTATTAGTACTTTTAAGCTCACATTTGACAGTTTATTGGTTGTTGTCATGTAAATTAGCAAAGCAAATACTCACAGCATAGCGGGGTCCAATGTCTTGGTGATTGGAATAGAGACCAGATTGTGAGAATGCATCAGATCCCTGTCAAGAAAATAACATATTATGGTTAAATTAAGGTTATTCTGCATATATTTAGAACATATGGAAACGTGTTGAAATGGTTCAAAAAATAGAGGAAGCTCAAACCTGACTACACGCCATGCATAGTACAGCCATGGCAGGTGTTATGACATGGCTCAGTTGAGAAAGAAAAAATGCAGGACCCAGAAATCCTATTGATTGCATGATCTGCAAACTCAAAACCATTAAAAGCAGGAACATTTTGAAGAGTGAAATCAATGCAAAATATTTCCTTCGATTTAGCACCGAAATGAATGGATGCCTAAGCACTATTATTTAAGAAAAAAGGCATTCCATTAAGAACAATAATTTTCTTGCCTTTCGAACAGTTGTTATGGAGACGCCTTTTCTCACAAGTGTGTCAGCAATCCACCCACCAATATTTGCAAAAGCAGCCATGGTTAACCATGGAAGAACACATAAGAGCCCAGATTCAGTGAGGTTGAACTTCAGAACCTGAGAAAATGATTAGTCTATTGATTCAGTAGCCTAAAAGCGGAAATGTACTGTAATGTACTTAGTACTGAGTTCATTTTATAGATACATACAACTAAGAAAGTAGTTAAATTTATTAAAAAGTTAGTACCTGATTATAATAAGTAGGCATCCAGGTCAGAAGAATAAAAGTCCCCCAATTGTGACAGAAGTGGGAGATTATAAGAGCCCAAACCGGTGCTTTTGATAAAATTAATTTCCAAGGAATGGAAGAAACAGGTGCATTTGATACATTGCCTTCTAGTATGAGCCTTTTCTCCTCTATCCCAAGATCTGGGTCATCTTTTGGGGAGCTATATGCCTGGTAGAGCCCAAGAGAGAGGAAAGGAAATGAGTCAACAGGCTAAGCAGGAAACTAAGCAGTGCCCCTGCCATTTAGAACTTTCGTGTGCAATGATAATGTGTTTCCACCTAAATAGAATTTCAGAGGCCTTGTTGTGCAAAAAAGTTGGTCTGCTCTTATATCCAGTCAATGGATAATTGTTCTTGAAAATAAAATTGCATACTGATGAAATTGAAGTCATACACTGACACTTTTTAGACTATCCCCCTTAATTATGGGTTGTCAGGGGGAAGGTTATTTTTTCCTCCTCTCAATTTTTTTTTTCCATTAGGAAAAGATACATGTATTAGACTTCATTGAAACTAAAGTGAAATTGACTTACATTTCTTAACCACAAGGCAAACCAGATACTTCCAAGGGATCCAAAAGAGTAAAAAACTGATGGCCACCCAAATTTTTGGATTAGTAACGGTGAGAATGCCAAGCCAACCACCGAACCAAGGTACATGCCACTATATACTAGGGCCAGTGATCTGCTTCTCTCTGAAACTGGAATCCACTTGGAAAGCATATTATTCATAGCAGGCATGGCAACACCCTGAAAACAAAGAATTAGCATGGTGGGTTTCTAAATCTTAAGACTAAGATTGATGTCTACATGCATAGACTTTCGACATGAGATCATTCATATGGTAAAATATAATCCATTTGTCTGTATTATTTTACACATGGATCTTGGTTTTGGAGGGTAGAGGTAATAAACTATGAAACTATGTTTGTCCATCTTGGTTGCATTGTGCATCACTTGCCCTGTCTGTTTTAAATGAAAATAAAGTTCATGCTTTGAGGCTAGTTTTCTAACTTTTTATTCATGCTTACATGATAGAAGTTGCAAGCAATGTTATCGACCAAAAGTCCATAATAAAGCTTGTCAGAGCCTAACAATTGACACTCCAAATTTTGAGGAGCACCAAAGCATTAAGGTTCAGATGAAATTTTACAAAAAGGTTGGTCTGTTTATCACGTGTGTGAAATCCTAAAGTATTGCTATATGATAGACCAAGTCTAACATATGTACATCGTGTCCTAGCATTTTTGTGAAGATGAAGCATACGATATCCTAAGAGTCTTTGGAGATTATTAAGATCATTTAGAAGTCCTCTTACCTGTTCAGCGCTTTAGAAACTTATAAGTGTGAAGGGAATATATATAACTTTATTCTGATTCTCACGTTAATGATTTACATCATATAAATAGAAAAGGAATAAAAACAGCCTATTTCTATAGTATCAACATATCAGGAATTGATTTGATCCAGACTAATCTTCCCCTCAATTATACGGATTTTATTTCCTATCATAATCTGAATTTAACACCAGATTTCAACCTTCCTAATTTACTGACAAAACTCATATTTTGTCTTTATAAAGATATTTGAAGGAAGAAAAATTCAATCTAACTCCACTTTTGTAATTTTCTTTTCATTTATCCTTTTTTAAAGCTGATAATTGATTTTGCATTAGAATAGATATCTGGATAAGGGACCATACGAGCTTGTTTTCTTAACCAAGTTGATGAAACCATGAAAGTAGTATAGATATATAATAGACCAACCTCACCGATCCCCATAAATGCACGCATAATAAGCAAACAAGGGAGCCCAATTCTTGCAGCAATAGGTGTTAAAATTGTTGCCATTGACCACCAGACAACTCCGAAACCTAGCACTAGTTTCCCACCAAGTTTGTCGGCCCATATGCCACCAAGGATCTAAACCAGAAAAACAAAACAACGTTGCATAAATGTATGTCAGTACGCAACTATGAAAAGACAATTAAAGAACTGTATTTCTATTAAGAAACAAAAAAAAATTGTGCCAAGCTCAACTAGCAGTGGTACTCTATTGCGTACTAGAAGTTGAAGTTAAATGTATCAGATCAATTTGTTGTTTAAAGTACTATGTTTAGGATGGAGGGTATAGCGATCACACCTGTGTAAGAAGGTAGCCCCAGAAGAAAGATGACTGAATTAGGCCAACTGTTGCACTGTTCCACTTAAATTCTTGAGACATTGGAAGTATTGCTATACTCATATTCACCTGTTTAATATAATGGACAAGTAAAGAACGAGAAGAAACATCAGTTGTTCATATTAAAAACACAACTATCAAGAACAGGAAAATTTAAAAACACAACTACATCAGTAGTTCATATTGAAAAGATTTGGACTCACTTATGTTACTAACATCACAATGTGATGTTATAAGAGATTAATCGAGACGCAATAAGTTATAATAGGGCCTGCCGTTATTTATGCAGGACCTATTAAATTTTCGTTTTATCTTTCTCAAAACATCACATTGCCTTGTTAGTAAGTAATAAGAAAGGA